GTGGAACAAGTTCTCTTCTTAAAAAAAAAAGAAAAAGGGTTACCTTAAATGCATCATGTTTTTAATTTCGAAGTTCATAAGCATTTTCCTTTTCCATTTCACAATCAATTCTACCCCCAGGTCCAAAAATATAAATAGGAAAAATTCCCTAATATAATATTATTTATAAATACACCCGTCTAGCGATTAATTGCATTAGTGCATGGAGGCAAGACCTCAGAGCATACTCCATAATGTGTTGTACATTATTATATGTATGTTATATGTAGCGTGGTATTTTTCAATTATTGTATGTACCAACATCAAGAAGTCACAAGCAAAGAAAGACCACACCATGGTGCATGTTTAAACAAGGAGAGTTTACTGGTCAAAATTATTTATTAAACAAATAAAACACATTTTTTTAACCACCAAAAAATACACGTTCAAAGCAACACAACAGCGGCCCAATATCAGACAGAACTCCACTCTGTAGAGTGAGCAATCTTAATGAAGCAGTTGGTTTTATTTTGTGGATTCGAGCTGCTCTTCATATTTTTGGCCACCAGATGTCACCAGAGAGGACTGTGTTGAAAAGCTTCGAGTAATGAACCGTTTTTCAATACAAGCTTCAGAAAGCTTCTTCTGCCCATCACTAGTGTTATGTGACGGCTGTGTGCAGGCAGGAGTAGTAGTAGGAGGACCCAATGTGCAGACACTCGGAGACGCAAAGTGAACTCAAAACAGCTTCAATGCTGAACTCAAAAGGGTAACAAAACTGAGAATACAAAATACACCTACGCAGACAGAACACACAGCAAGATGAGGGTAGATCACAACACCAACAAACTGAAACACAGGGCTTAAATACACAGAGGGAGCAATCAGGGAGGGAAACAGCTGGGGCAAATCAGGCCTAACAAGACAAAGGAAGCAAAACCAGACACATTTACATGAGACACGGACTTTCAAAGTAAAACAGGAAACATAACACAGACTGAACTTACAGACAGACTCACAAGCAGGCACTGCAACAGAGGGAACAGAGACGTGAGACCAGGGCAGACACGGGGATATAGCCGACAGGGGAGACAGCAACTAAGGATTACACAGAGACATAAACCATAAGAAAGAACTCTAACAAAGAAACCAAAGACTGGAAATGATAAATAATATAATAAACTCAAAAACCCGGGGTCAACGACCCAGGCATCCAAACAGTTTGTGGTCATTTGGAGATCAAGCTGAATTTACTGTATACTTCATATTCACCTTCCTATGTTGTGATTGGAGGATTCATTTTTGCTTTGACCTTTTAACAGATGTTCATTTGCCCCAAGACTTTTTGCTTGTCAGGTTATTTTTCTACAAGTGTACAATAATTATAAGGAATGACCAAATTCAATTACATTAGCCCTTTAATCATATTTGGGTTATGTGTCACCCTTTTTAACTGAGTAGTCCAAAATCAGTCGAATCCACAGTAATCTGTCATACAAAGTCAATATTTGAGAATCTACTCGTTGGGTTCAGGTAGGATCGTAAGGAGACTGGCAGTGGTAACTCACCTTAAAGAAGGAATATCCCTCCACTCAGAATGAGACACTGACAACAACTTAAAGGGAGAAAAGTGATTTGAGTGTATTCAACCTTTAAATGGTCCAAAACATAGACATGAACAAAACATTTAAATCATTTCAAACATGTAAATCTCAACAATGTACAACATATCACTTAAAGTGTCCATAAATGTATCAGGTAGGCTGTCCATTTCAGTTCAGTGCACTTAGTATTCAGGGTTCTTAGTAAGTGTTCAAGTTATTTGGATTGTCTTTGGTCACAGTTTTGCTTTTAGATGCATCAGTTTTTTGTGTTAAGTGGAATCAGATCTGACCCAAAAAGTAAAAAAGTAACAACATAAAGCGTCTTGAGATCGCAGAAAAAACGTTAATCCAAAAAAATTGCAAATCGTTGCATCCTACCACCCTCCAAGGGAACAGGTGGCCTTCAGATTGAGAACGTCCTTTCTAGGCACCTCCAGTGGCATCCAGTCCTTAGATGGCACCGCTCGGTCCTTGCAGCAGATTTCTACCACATAAAAAAAACAATGCCCCCCTGCACAGCTGCAGACGGGTTTGCCCTCCTCCACGGTTATTCTGCTGGCAGCTGTTTGGATACGGGGCAAATATAAACAATGAAGACAAAGTAAGTGGAGCTCATGAAGTGAATCTCATACACCATGCTCCTCCATAAAACTGAAAAGAAGAACAAAATGAGCCACTCGATTTAACTGTGCCCATAACGACTCAGGTCTTTGATTATGCACTGACCTGCCAGTGATAACACTCTGCCTGTTCAGTCCATGAAACGGCCACACCAGTGTTTCCTACTCCACGATCACATCTCTCTGGATGGTGTTCCAAAGTTCTGAACACCAACCGTGAACAGTGACGACCCTGTACAGCTGGAACTGATCCACGTCAGCTGTTTTAGACACGATGCGCTCCCAGGTTTATCAGCCACAGAGGGAGCACAGCAGGATGCTGGCACTCCTTCACAGAAGATCAGAGTGAGCGCACACGTGCACGCGACTGTGCACAAACACAGCAGACTCTGGAGACCTGTCAGGTGCTTCATCATCATCATCAGTCTGAGCTCACCTGAGATCCACAGCTGCAGGTATTCATCTCAAACACCTAGAGCACTAAACTCCACCAGCTTTAAACGTGATGGAGTTTAAAAGTTTGTCTTCGAAACAGGAACAACATTGGAAATAGGGCTGGGTTTTTATAATCGATTCATCGATTAAAATCGATTCTGGCTTGGATAACGTAAAATCGATTCATTAAAATCCTGAATCGATTTTTTTAATATAAATTTATTTTGCCCGAAATGCCAGAATCTCTGGTGACATCTCACAAAATTTCAAGAACCACCAAACAGTTAAGACAGTAAATGAGAGCAGGAACACGGCTTCTGCACATAGACGTAAACACACAGCGCGACCCGCGGATCAGAATCAGTGAGATGTCGCCTTTCTCACGGTCGGGGCTGAAAGCCGACAGCTCGCTGATCCTGATGTTTCGGTGGGTCGGCGCTTTGTGTTCACGCCATTTATGCGCTGATTCTAAAGCTGTTAGTTTGATCTCTCTCCAAACAATATTGACCGAACCAGCAGCAAAAGAAGATCCAAACTACGCTTCACATAAACATCGTCATGGATTCACTCTGACTTTTGCTGTTTTGCTTCCACCGCGATGCACAGCTCTCTCTCTCTCTGTACTTCAAGAACAGTTTCCCTTTCTTCATTATTCGCTTGCTTGTTATGCACAAGTCTACTGTTGTTTACAGGCTGTCGGCCGCTGTTTTTTTCCCTTTTACATACTTCCGAAAAGAAAACCTAATTTCTGCCGTTCAATACTGAACAAATTTAAACTTTCTAAAATTATGGAAAATGCAAAACGCTGTGTCTCTAATAAAACCGCTGCAACTCAGAGGTAACGTTCATGTGTTGATTCAAGGTTTTCTTTCGTTTTTGATGTGCTGCAGAATATTTGTATAAAATCCAGGCCAGGAAAAATCACCTTCATGTTTTTCTGTTTTATCTTCAGCTACTTTGACACAAAGGCCTCTGCTGTGACGCTCACACCTGTGATAAAGTCTTGTGTCAGCTTCCTTTTTATTGATAAAAAATATGTAAATATACTGATCTGAATTATAATATTTCTGACTGTCAGAATTTCCCAGATTTAAATCGAATCGAATCGAATCGAATCGAATTAAATCGAATCGTGGATCGAATCGATTCGGGACCTTGTGAATCGGAATTGAATCGATTCTAGAAATCAGTGACGATACCCGGCCCTAATTGGAAACCATCCCGACTTTCATCCCGGGACATGTTTGTTATAATTTCTGGGAAAGCTGCTGAATGACAGCAGAGTAATAATTCCCAGGACGAAGAGAAACTTTCACCTAAACTGGAAGTTTGTTTTCTAATGAGCTGAGACGGCTGCTGCCCTCTGTGTGCCACATTTCAAACACTGACAGCAGTCCTGTTGTTCCTGTATTACCTGCAGAAATACAAGAGCCTACAAATCTTCTGTCTAACCACCTGATCGGCAGGTTTGAGGACAAACGTCTCCTGCCCCGCTGCCACCCCAGGATCTAGACAGACGGGTCCAGTCTTGCCCGGCTGATTCCCAGGAAAATGTTTGAGTTTAACACAGTCGTTGCAGGTTTGGCACCTTCTCCTGAAACTTTGCTCCAGGCTGTTGGCAGTTTTCACTGCGGGCTGTACTTATCTCGCTCCTTTAGTGGTTGCAGTTGCTCATTATGTGACACAAATGCGTCCCCTTTGAGTTTGAGTGGACAGGCTTCCAGGGCAAATGCATATATAAGCTTGTTTCCTGTTTTGTTGGAACAAGGAGCGCGGGATGAAACTAAGCCGTTTATCAGATCAACATGCATCAGAGGGGGTGACGCAGAAATTGATTGACAGATCAAATAATCACAGTTGGTGATGCTGCACTGACTCACACATTAACGTTTGTTAGTGGGAGTGTTTGAGTCTCGTGTGCTGTCGTGCTGATGATAACCGATCAGAGGGATTATTCTTTAATAAAAGGCGATGGTGAAATATTTGGCACCTGATGGAGGCGAAGGATCTGCTCCCATCAGCCACTCTGGATAAAAGTTTCTGACCTGTGTGGAGAATTTGACAGGAAACCAACTTGCTTTCTCTCAGTCCTGAGCTTTGATTGGCTCTTTGGCTGTGGAAACATTTCAGGCCCCTGTATGCACATGTTATATATTAAAGGAATGCCAGAGGCTGTAGGGGTGATGCAGTTCTGTGGAAGTGAGGCTGCAGGTAACCTTATCTACCTGACAAACACACCTGCCTGAATGTGTCTAAGGACAGTGCAGAGAGAGGCGGAGCCCAGATCCAAATCCTTCCAACGTTTTTCATATGAAATGTGTCAGCAGACTTTCAGCTCATAACAACCTCTCAGCCTTCAGAGGGACGTTTACCTGAGCGCACCTTTCTCAGGAACGCAGAATGACCAGAAGCCCTCGTCGCCGCTGACTTGACTCGCTGCGCCGCACAGAGAAAGAAGTTTACAGATCGCAGTGCCTGACCTCAGAACAGCCCACACCTCACCCGGCACCGAGCGTACCTGGAGGCAGAGGACGAGCTGCATGCGTCCGTCAGGTGTTTCTGCAAACACAGGTGAGTGCAGACGGCTGCGTTCACGAGTGCTGCTGACGCTCTCTGTATGCACTCGTCTGCATACAGCGGGCTCTGAGCGTAACCATCACTTTCATTCGTTTCCAGTTTTACTACAGCAGACTTCAGATGCATTAACAGTGTGTCCCAGAGCTGCTTTCTGCACACAAGTTAAAATAAATCTGGATTTCACGACGAATAACATCTACATGAAAAAGTTTATATATCAAACAATACTGAGGCAGAGCAGTAGGATGGAGGCCACACTTTTTCAATCCACCCTCATTAATGCTATTTAATCATTTATGAATCAACATGGCTCAGTATAACATAATCAGGCATATACAAGTCTACACACATAAAACAATGTAAGCTGCACCAACCCAGTAAAAAACGACATCTTTGACACGGCGCTGTGATGAGCGCTCCTCTCTGTACCTGTGACGATCATCTTCTTGTATTAGAGTTTAAATCGAGTCATGCTTGGACATTATTTTGCAGCACGTATGGTTATAGGAAACCTTTTTCTGCTCGTTTGCTGCATCTTTAGATTTAATGTAACCATCAGTGAAACCTTGCATCTGTTACTGGTGCTGTTCCACAAGATTGAAGAAGTTCTCGACTGAATAATTCAGTTGTTGTAATGAACTTTTGTAGCACCAAACAACAGCAAAGAATGCAAAGGGATGTTTGGTCTATCATCTGCTTCGCTGTGGAAAAAAAAGCTTTCAGACAGTTTGTATATGATTCATGTGAAACACTGCCACCAGGAATTTAATCTCATTCTGTGTAAGCTATAATCTCCCGGGAATCTGTATAGATTAAAGTCAGCATTCTCATATAGGGTTTATCATATACGGGCCAGACCAAGTAAACACAGACATGAGGTATTTCAAGGTAAAGATTAAAGACAGTGAATCAGGGTTGCAGTTAAGGTTTACAGTTTTATTACCTTCTCATAGTTTTGTGTTTCACTGTGAATTTCTTGTGGTTTTATTGGTTTTATTTCATGTCTCTGTATACCTTACACCAGCGGTCTCCAACCTTTTTTGCGCCACGGACCGGTTTATGCCCGACAATATTTTCACAGACCGGCCTTTAAGGTGTCGCGCATAAATACAACAAAATAAAACTAGTACCGGTACCGAAAAAAAGAAGATTTATTCATAACACACAGGAAAAGACCCAGGAAAACCGAGTAAACGATAAAAACGATAACAAAATAATGCTGAAAACTACATTTCACACCTGAGCCTCAACTCTCGCGGCCCGGTACCAAACGACTCACGGACCGGTACCGGTCCGAGGCCCGGGGGTTGGGGACCTCTGCCTTAGATGTATAAAGCTGCCGGGGATAACAGCAGCTCTAACTTCTGCCACACAAGTTCAACATAAACCTGCTCACTGAGCACAAATCCACTCTGGAAACTTCGACAGCTCTGACGGTCAGGCAGGGTGCGGCTCTGCAGGTGAGCCGCTGCTGCTGGGTGGTGCTGTGTGATATCAGACTGTCAGCACACATGAGTTACCAAGCAAGAAATTCACGATCATTTTATTCTTGTGAAGTGCATGAAAGAAAGCAGTTTACAAAGCTGCACCAATCAGTGAGAGGCAGAGGAAAGAGACTGCGTCAATGAGTGACACCAGAGCTGCTCCGTTTTAGCACTGAGCTGAAGCATGAAAAAGGATCACTGACACTCACTGACAATTACAGACACTCACTGACAATTACAGACACTCACTGACACTGACACAGACAATACAATACAATTCTATTTATGTAGCACATTTAAAAAACCACAGGTATGCCAAAGTGCTTCACAGAACGAGTTAGAGCAATAATAAATACAAATATAAAACACAAAATACAAATAAAATATACTAACAGGCGGGTGACATAACTAACCAATAATACACCAGGCATAGTAGGCACAACCCGAAAGGCTGAAGGTTAAAACATTATAAATATTAATAAAGCGAAAAAGATAACTTACAGTACACCAAAAATGTGGGCTGTAGGAGGCGGGAAAGCAAGGCTAAACAAATAAGTTTTTAATCAAGATTTAAAAGATTGAATTGAATCAGATGCCTTGAGGGAGGTTATTCCAGAGGTAGGATGCGACAGCGGCGAATGCGCGGTCACCTCTGGTCTTGAGCCGAGATCTAGGTCGCACCAGGAGCCTTTGGCCTGATCTAAGCGCTCTCCCAGGGATATAAAAGCTGAGGAGATCCCTAAGATAGCTGGGTGCGGTGCTATTTATGATTTTAAAAGTGAGCAATAAGATTTTAAAATCAATACGAAGTTTTATAGGGAGCCAGTGCAGGTCGGAAAGAGCTGGAGTAATAGACTCAAACCTGCCAGTTCCAGTTAAGAGACGCGCAGCTGCATTTTGAACGAGCTGCAGTTTGTGAACAAGGGCAGAATGGAGACCAGTGTAAAGGGAATTACAGTAATCTAATCTGGATGTAACAAAGGCATGGATACGTTTCTCCAGGTCCTTACATGGTATGTAGGGCTTGGCCTTAGAGATTAGACGTAGTTGATTGAACTCGATTTAACTACAGAGGACACGTGTTTGTCCAACTTGAAGGAACTGTCCAAGACAACACCCAGGGTCCTCACAGTGTCAGAAAGGGAGTCAGCAAAGGGCCCAAAAATACCAGTTAGTTCAGCCCGAGAGGAGGGAGAATCAAAGACTACAATTTCAGTCTTCTTATCATTTAAAATGAGGGAATTGCTCAGTAGCCAGATTTTAACTTCATTCATACAATCGGAGAAGTGTTGCAACGACGACGTGACATCCTCAGCTAGTTCAAAATAGATTTGAATCCGCATAGAAGTGGAAAGAAATATTGTATTTATCAAAGATTCGGCCCAAGGGTAACAAGTATAAAGAGAACAGCATGGGACCCAGCACGGACCCCTGGGGGACACCAGAGGTAACAGGGGCAATGGAGGAGGAGCAGGTATCCATGGTGACAGAAAAGGACCTTTCTGAGAGATAGGATTTAAACCAGCTAAGGGCACTGCCCGTGATGCCCACCAGATGCTCAAGCCTCATTAAAAGGACATTATGGTCCACCAAATCAAAAGCAGAGGACAAATCAAGCAAAATTAACACCACAGGGCACCCTGAGTCAGCAATTGAGAGAAGATCATTAAAGACTCTCAGTAATGCAGTTTCCGTGCTATGGTGTGGCTTAAACCCCGACTGAAAATTTTCCCCGATATTATTTGCAACCAAATAAGTTTGAAGTTGGGAGTGAACAATCTTCTCTAGGATTTTAGACAGAAACTGGAGTTTGGAAATAGGTCTAAAGTTAGCGAGGTCATTCTGATCAAGGGAGCTCTTTTTGAGTATAGGTTGCACTACAGCGTGTTTATAACAGTGACAGGTTAATTAATGATAAAACACAGGGCCCGATAATGTTAAACCCATCTTTAATAATGTGAGATGGAAGGATGTCATGAGCAGCGTTTGAGTTTTTAGGTGATCAGTTATACCCTTAAGAGTAGGGAGCGAAACTGGATCAAACTGATTGAGGTTAGAAGAGCATCGTAATGCTGGGGCCTGACTCATCACAGGGGGGTGTGAGACTCTTAGAGATAAGATTCTGCCTGTAAAATGAGTTAAAAGATTTTCACAACGGGCTAAGGAAGCCAATCTAGGCATTTCAGGACAAGGGTTGGACAATGAGTTAAAAGTCTTAAATAAAATATGTGGGTTGTGACTATTATCCGCAATGACACCCAACAGAAAAGCCAACTTAGCAGATTTCTGAAATTCCAGGTGGGTCCTGCGAACGATATCAAAAGACACCTGGAGCCTATCTTTTTTCCACCGTCTCTCAGCTTGGTGGCAAACGCGTCGTAAAGCGCGTAGAGTCATTTAGCCACGGCTGAGAGCAGCTTCTAGGTTGTTTTACTTTCATAGAGGCCACAACGTCCAGTATAGAGGAGCAGGTAGAGAGAAAGGAGTTAGCAAAATCATCAACTGAAGAGGGTGTAGAACGATCAAAGTCAGGGAGAACAGATTTAGAGAAAGCAGCCAAAAATTCAGCCACAGTCCCAGGATTGATTATGCGCACAAGACGTCGAGGACCCTCAAAGCTCTGGTCCAATTTGCATAACTCAGCATCAAAGATGACTGAGAAATGATCGGAGATTCCAATGTTGCTGATGTCCCTGATACAAATGTCCAGTCTATAAGAAAAAATCAAATCAAGGGTATGTCCTTTAAGGTGGGTAGGTGCATTAACCCACTGGATAAGATTAAAAGAGTCAACTAAGGCTAGAAAATCCTTGGCAAACACATCATCTTTACAACAAATGTGAATGTTAAAATCGCCAGTGATAAGACCACTGCCAGTCCTCCACCCCTGCCCGAAGGTCTCGGTGAGCTAAAAAAGGCACAATTCGGAGGAAGGAGCTCTGAGAAAGGGAAAGACTCACCGGGACGAATCCAAGTTTCCGTCATGAATAGTAAAACCAGTCCTGTAGCAGTAAAAAAATAGCTCACAATAAAAGTCTTATTAGTCAGCGACCTAACATTTAATAGCGCCATCCGAGTCGAAGACGCCGAGTCGCAGTTGGAAGCACGTCTCGGGCGGCATAGGTTGCCATAACACACGCCGCCTTTAGGAGGCTTAATCCAACATGGAGCCGGCGAATAAACCACTGGGGCGACAGGGCGGGCCTGCAACTCAGCATAGCGACTCAGCATGTCACGTACACTGTGTATGACTGTGTACGTGACAAATAAAATTTGAATTGAATAATTTGAATTATTTGAATCCATCGATGCCTAAACAATCTAAAGGTAAAGTGCTCCCAGAAAGTCGGGGGAAGGCGGAGAGCATCCACATCGACGTCAAAGCCAGCCGTGCCTTTAGGTAAGCCTTAATGCGGACACGGACACCACTCCGTTTACCCCTTTTCCTGTAGCGTCTCCTGTGCAAAGGAAGCGGAGATCATTCCTGAGAGGTGATCCGTCCGCAGCAGAGTGGTATCTCCTAAATTCCACCACGGGTCCGATCCATGGAAGTATGACCCGTAAGTATAGGGTGGCCGGAGACTTAGAAGAGTAAGCCGGTCATAAGTTAGCAATGCAGAGCCACCTGAATAGCATATTAGCAGAAAGGTAAGAAGCAGCAGAGAGCAGTGGAGACGGGCTGCCGAACACACTGGCGCCATCTTTTGATGGACAAACACTCACTGACAAATACAGACAATCACTGACAGTTAGTGGCAGTCACTGACACTGACACTCAGACAATTACAGACAATCACTGACAATTACAGACAATCACTGACAATCAGACATCTCATTCCATGTTTCCAGCCACAAAGTTCTAATGCTGTATTTGCATTATTTTCCAACGAGGCGCTCCATGAACTGATCTCAATTTAGACAAACAGAGAATCATAATAACCTGTTAATAAACTTTATTTGTATAAAGGGAACAGCTGATATTTTAAAGTCTGATTTCATGTTTGACAGGTAAACAGAGACCAATAAAGCAGTTGTACCACAAGAGCCTGCAGTACTATCTGACGTGATGACATCAGAGGACCTCTTAAACACTCTGGAAGATTTGGGAGATGAAGAGTTTGATAAATTCAAGTGGTTCCTGCAGCATGGTGATGTCCTTCGGGGGCGCCCTGCCATCAGAAAGAGCCGTCTGGAGACGTCAAAGCGACTGGAAACTGTGGACCTGATCATACAAACCTATGAACTCCAAGGAGCTTTGGAGGTGACCAAGGTGGTTTTAGAGAGAATTAACAGAAATGACCTGCTGCAGAGTTTTTCTGTCAGCAGCCCAACAACCGAAGGTCAGTCACAGGAAAAGACAAACACTGCTGTCTGAAAAGGTTCAACAAAGTGCAGGTTATATTCTTTTAATGCTCATAATGTCTGTTTGTCTATCAGTGCACATCAATGGTGGGAAGACTTCAAAGAAGAAAGGGGATGAAAATGATGGTGGGAAAACCGCAAAGAAGAAAGATGACGATAACAATGATGGGAAGACTTCGAAGAAAAAAGCAGATGATGAAGATGGAGGGAAGAGCCCAAAGAAGAAAGGGGACAATGACAGTGATGGGAAGACTTCAAAGGAAGAAGCGGATAATGAAGATGGTGGGAAGACTACGAAGAAGAAAGGAGATGACGGCAGTGTTGGGAAGGCTAAAAAGAAGAAAGGACTTTTCTCCTCTAAGACTCAGGCTCCTACTTCTGAGACTGATGGTAAAACTACTGTCAGGTTTGATAACGTGATGATTGGCTAATTAACAAATACTCAATATTTGTGATGTCGTTGCATTTCTAATCCAAATCTTTTACTGAATTTTAACTTTACAAAGGTTGGAGATAGGGATGGGCGGTAGAAACTATATAAATTTGGCCAACAGTAGAGATTTTGACTATAGTCAAAGGAGCTTGCAAAGAAAAGCGTCTGGACTTCTTTAAGTTGGTTGAAGACGTTTCACCTCTCATCCGAGAAGCTTCTTCAGTTCTAAGGTCAAATGGTGGAGAGTCCCAGATATAAACCTAGTGGGAGTTTCCCCCCACAGAGGGACAAAAGGACCCCCTGATGATCCTCTAATCGCCTGAGCCAAGGTGGGAAACTGGGTGTGGGTCCCAGACGCTTTTCTTTGCAAGCTCCTTTGACTACGATGACCTGGATGACTGAGAACCTTCACAGACATTTTGACTATACCGCTCTACTACGATAGCGCATGTTGATGGTGTCATCAAGCTGCCTGTTTTGGTCGAAAGCATTGCAGCGGCTGCAAACAATTCAATTCAATTCAATTTTATTTATATAGCGCCAAATCACAACAAAAGTCGCCTCAAGGCGCTTCATAGATACAGAGAAAGTAGCATAAACAGCATAAACTGGAAATTATGGCGGGCGACAGTAATAGCAAAGAGACGGAGCACTTTTGGAATATGGGGAAAGCCAAAAACTGCGCTACCTCCACTTCCATACCATTGATTCATTAATGCTGAATTCTCTTGCAGCTGCTCTATTCCCATGTTGTTGCAGTATATTAATGACTAACCTCGTATTGTGGATGGATTATCTCAGTTGTTCTCCTGACTGAGGTTTGGTCCGTTTACAGCATCCTGCCATGTGATTGCATTTGTCCCTAACCACCAGAAACCCTCATGTTAACTTTTATTGAGTGGAAAGAAGTTAGCGCTCATCCTCCAGCTTCACTGTGCTAATGCTATGCTAACGTAGCTGTTTTGCTAGCGATCACGTAGCACAACATTATATACCAGCTAGCCCAACTTCAGTAACCCTATAAACGTCACTGCTGTTTAGTTTTCTGTCTTCATTTATGTTGGAAGTGATAGTAGAGCTGTACGTTTGAATTTGTTTTAGAAATCTCTCAGTCTGAACATGCTATATCATGTTTAGGTAACTAGCGAAACTAGCGAGCTAACTTCCTGCTAACTTCTAACTCTGTTAAATGTAATAAATTCTGTTTTCATGGATGCCTGGATGTTAAACTTAATTGTTACACCTGGTAAAGCAGCAACGCTGATCATTTTATTAAAGATGAAATAATTTAGACAGTTTTTAACTCTCAGTGACGCCACAGTGATCGTTTGACTTTGGGACCTGAACCTGACAGAGTTTAGGACCCAGATTACTCCGTGACACTCCTGACTACGGCAGCTGTAATGCTCCAACAATCCATCAAGCGATGCGGCTTCGTAGCTTAGCAAAGTCAGACTAAAACATTTTTGACAGATTTTTGAGCACCGTGTAGCACATAAGATCGGTTTGAGGTCAATAAGCACAACCAGAATTCATACATAAGGCGCTATGTCGATTTTTGAGAAAATTATAGGATTTTAAGTGCGCCTTATAGTGTGTAAAATACGTTATACAGAAGAAAAGAATATATCGCGATACATATTGTTACCGCACATGCTTCAAATTATACCATGATGTGGATTTTAGGTCATATCGCTCAGCCCTAGTTGGAGATTTCACTAGACTATTGTGTTTTAATCATTCTATATACTACCTAGCATACTTGCAGTTTACCTTGGACATAGCTTACTAGAGAAGATTTAAACTAAAGGTCAAAGTTCTAAACTGAAACTTTCACTTCAAAGCTTGGTAAACACAGCAGTAGTGTCTCTGTAGTTAGCTAAAACAATGAAGTTATTCACTCTTTTCTGCCATTTATGGGAGGATAACAACATGGGAAACTGAGCAAAGAAAACATGATTTGTAGTTATTCACCTCCCATATCAACCTAAGTGTATGAACACATTTTCTGCTGTTTGCCATAACCAAATCACTTAAATGACGTTATAAGAGTTTTTTCAAAATGTTATATAAAATTTTTTTTTCTCCATATTGGTAACAACTACTACCATCTGAAACCAAAAGAGTAGACCATTGTATACTTTCATTAGCACTAGTCTTTATATCACTGGTTTAAGGAATATTTTAAAATGTATAAAATTATAATAACTACAAACAGCTGAAACATCGTAATTTATGCCAGTAAACCTGATATGGGCTCGGGGCTGAATAATCCTCAATATCTTAATTATACACTTTACACTTTCGTTTTTTTATCCTTCATTTTTGACATAGATATGATGGTTCCAGTACCAGAGCCACATCCCATCACATTTTACCAGCAGATGCTTCAGTCAAATTTCCAGGATAAATTTTTGGGTGCAGAAGAAGAGTGGGCAAAAGACACACAGCATCTGGCTGATATCTACACAGAGCTGTACATCACAGCCAGGTGTGGCGCACATTTCCACACACAGCACGAGGTCCGAACGTTAGAAAAGGCATGGAAGCCAGCAGAAGCAGAGAAATCAATTCAACCCACAGACATGTTTGAGCATCCTTCTGGAGAATCCAAACCCATCAAAACAGTGATGACCAATGGAATCGCAGGAATTGGAAAAACTTTCCTTGTCCAGAAGTTTGTTTTGGACTGGGCTGAAAAAAGATCCAATCAAGATGTGCATCTGATTTTCCCCTTCACCTTCCGTCAGCTGAATCCTCTGAAGGGAGAAAAGTTCAGTTTGGCAGAGCTCATTCATGAATGCATCCCAGAAACTGTAGGCATCCCACAGGAGGCTCTTAATTACATCTTTACAGATGTTCAGTCATCAGGAATCACCAACTATGACAAGAGTAAATTCAAACTTCTGTTTGTGTTTGATGGGCTGGATGAGAGCCGCCTTCATCTCGACCTTCATTCTGAAGACATTCGCTCTGTCGATGTAACAAAGGCAACAGTAACAGATGTCCTGCTAAGAAAACTCATTAATGGAAAACTGTTATGCTCTGCTCGCATCTGGATAACCACACGGCCTGCAGCGGCCAATCAGATCCCCCAAGAGTTTATAAACAGCATCACAGAGGTCAGAGGGTTCACTGAGCCCCGGAAGGAGGAGTATTTCAGGAAGAGATTCAAAGGTGAGGAACAGGCCAACAGGATTGTCTCCCACATCAAAACATCACGAAGTCTCCTAATCCTGTGTAACATCCCAGTCTTCTGCTGGATCACTGCAACAGTTCTGGAGGATGTGTTGAAAACCAGAGAGGGAGGAGAGCTGCCCAAGACTCTGACTGAGATGTACGCAGAGTTCCTGATGTTTCAGATTGATCGGACAAAAGAAAAGTATGGCCCAGAGAAGAGCATTCAATACATTACGTCATTAGCAAAACTGGCCTTTGAGCAGCTGGAAAAGGGCAACCTGATCTTCTATGAGAAGGATCTGAGAGAGAGCAGCATTGACTTTGTCTCAGCATGTGGAGGAGTTTCCACAGAGATCTTTAAAGAGGAGCGAGGGAGGAAAGGGAAAGACAAGATGTTCAGCTTCGTCCATCTGAGTGTTCAGGATTTTCTGGCTGCTTTTTATGTGAAGATGTCTCTAATAAACAGCAACAAAAATGTGATGCCTTTACCACGAATGTCTCTGAAAAACCTTCGACTCCTTTTTAGCAAAACATCTTCGAAGAAGATCCACAGGATTTCCATTGACAGGGCCTTAAAGAGTCCAAATGGAAGCCTGGATTTGTTCCTTCGCTTCCTTCTGGGTCTTTCACTGCAGACCAACCAGGAGAAACTACAGAACTTGTTGATCAAGACGGACAGTAACCCACTGGCCAATCAGAAAACAGCCCAGTACATCAAGAAGAAGCTCAGTGAGAATCTGTCTCCAGAGAGAAGCATCAATCTGTTCCACTGTCTGAATGAGCTAAATGATTCTTCTCTAGTGGAGGAGATCCAACAGTCCCTGAGATCAGGAAGGCTCTCCACAGAAAAACTATCTCTTGCTCAGTGGTCAGCTCTGGTCTTCATCTTGCTGTCATCGGAAGAAGATTTGGGCGTGTTTGATCTGAAGAAATACTCAGTTTTTGCTTCAGAGGATGCTTTTCTGAGACTGCTACCAATAACGAAAGAAGCCAGCAAAGTTCTGTAGGTGGACAGATAATACGTAATACGTATGTAGGGGTTTTGTCAACCAATAACATTTTCAGTCTGTGTCATACTGATTTGTCTTACTGAATCATTTTAGTCGAGTAAACAAAAAATTGTATAGTTGTTGTTGTTGCTATTCTTGCTCCATGTGAAAGAGTATCACTTTGTTTCACTAACTCTCCTCCAGGCTGAGTGCATGCAATCTGTCAAAGAGAAGCTGTTCAGCTCTATCCTCAGCTCTTAGCTCTGAGCCATCCAGCATGCGAGAACTGGACCTGAGTAACAACGACCTGCACGATTCAGGAGTGAAGCTGTTGTCTATTGGGCTGGGGAGTCCAAGCTGTACACTGGAGAAACTCAAGTAAGTCCAGATCATTCAACCCCCCACAATCACACGTGTAAGGACCGAAAGAACATTGCCTGTAAATTTCAATTAAACGTAAAGCATTACATTTTTTGTCTTATTTTTCTGTGTCAGCAAATGAATCTATATAAATTCCAGTGACGACATTATGCAGACAGTTAGAGCATCATGGCTTTGTTCATTCTCCCCTCAAAGATAAGGCACATATAATCAGTTCAGTTTGTTTGCTTGTTAACAGTCTAGCATCCACAGTTTTCAAGTTATCATGTTTAAATTTTGTATGGTAGTAGATACCAATAACATCTCGAGCTGATTTCATTTTATATCTCTCTCTCGGTGCATACTCAGCCTGTCAGGCTGTATGATCTCAGGGAAGGGCTGTACTTCTCTAGCCACAGCTTTGAGAGCCAACCCCTACCATCTGAGTGAGCTGGACCTGAGCTACAACCATCCAGGAGACACCGCCACCAAGCTGCTTTCTGCTGGAGTGGAGCATCAACACTGGAAGCTTAAAATTCTCAGGCAAGAGATTAAAATGAGACTCACACAGTGTTTTTGTGTCACACTGGTGGGATTGGCTGGTTCACAGCTGCTAATAGCTACTGAAGGTTTAGTCTTTGGGAAGTCTTGGATTAAAGACAAATCCATGTTCAATTAGTCTGGTTATCAGACGATCTGAGACTTTATTCATTGTTTGTTAACATTTAATGTAACATCTGGGCGAGTGTGTCTTTGTTAAGTCTAAAAAGCGTCTTATACAAGGGCCCACCTGACTCGGAGTGAATGTCGTCATCAGACAATGAATGTGAGGCTGAGTGTGGACGTCAACTTTTTTGGACTACACAAAATCTTCAATGCAACACTAGAATGCACCACAAACAGAAACACACTTCAGAGTTATGACTGTCTGTGTGTGCAGCACAGATTACAGCTCATCTCAGTGGTGGATATGACTGAAGGTCGTGATTCATTAAAAAATCTTTCTGAAGTGTCATTCAGACTTTGTTTGTCATCCAGGCTGGAGCATGGTGGAGAGCAGAGGCTGAAACCTGGTTTGAAGAAATGTGAGTGTTTGTTCTCTTTGATTCATGAAGTCAGCATATGTTATAGCTTCAATCTGCAGGTTATTCTGAATTTGACTAAAGAGCCAGAACAATGAATCATTGTGATGTTTTTCTTCAGTCTTTTCATAAATCAGCAGACGTCGCATCAACTGATAATAATAATCAAATAATAATATTTATTTCTAAAGCACACTAAAAAACCAAGGGTATACCAAGGGGCTTGACAAAATAAGATAGGAAAAGGAGATGGGAGGGAAAAGAGAAAGAGAAAGGACCCGGCACATATTAAACATAAAACCATGACAATCATAATACATACAAGTATTTAACAAAGCATAACAGATAAAAATGTATCAACACACACACCAAATATTAGCTAGATGGAAAAGCAAGATTAAATAAATAAGTCTTTAACCGTGATTTAAACAATGGCATAGAGTCAGACGCCCGGATAGCAGCAGGAAGATTGTTCCATAGACTGAGGCAGCTACAGCAAACACACGGTCGCCCCGAGACTTCAGCCGAGAACACGGTTGCTCCAGAAGAAGCTGGGTAGCAGGAAATCTAAGTGCTCTGAAAGGAGCACTTAGATTTCCTGCTACCCGTCAAAAGGCGTGCCGCCGCATTCTGGACAGTCTGCAATCTAAGGAGAAGGGAGGAGGAAAGGCCAATGTAAAGAGAGTTGCAGTAAATACGTTTTTCCAGGTCATTGTGTGGAATATAGGGCTTAGCCTTAGAAATGAAGCACAGCTGATTAAAAGTAGACCTCACAACAGCAGACACTTGCTTGTCAAATTTAAACGAGCTATCCAGTAATATGCCCAAATTACTGGCATAATCAGAAGGGGAGCTAGCAAAAGGCATCAGAGCAGCACACAATTGGTCGCGGGGGATTTTACTATCGAACACCACGATCTCCGTTTTCTTTTCGTTCAGGACAAGAGAATTACTCTTGAACCAACCTTTAACCTCACGCATGCATTCAGGAAAATAGTGAAAATACATAGCAAGATCGTCAGTAATCTCAAAATAAATCTGTATATCATCAGCATAGCAATGAAAGGCAATATTATACTTCTCAAAAATTGCTCCAAGGGGGAGCAGATATAATGAGAAGAGAACAGGGCCTCTCTTCTCATTATATACACCACAGCGTAAAGGTACTGATGAAGATGAGAAGTTGCCCAAATTAACCGAAAAAGACCTGTCAGCGAGATAAAATTTAAACCAGTTAAGGGCAGTGCCTCTTTTACCCACAGTATGCTCAAGTCTTAATAGAAGAATGTTATGATCGACCATATCAAAAGCAGAGGGAAGGTCCAATAAAACCAGGACCACAGAGCGTCCAGAGTCAGTGCTTACAAGAAGGTCATTGAGAACTCTAAGCAAGGCCGTTTCAGTGCTGTGCCGCGGCTTAAAGGCAGACTGAAATTTCTCTGCAATGTTGTTCGTGTCTAAATATGCCTGAAGCTGAGAAAGAACTAGTCGCTCCAGGATCTTGGACAGAAACGGAAGCTTAGAGATCGGTCTATACTTCAAGAGATCATAACAATCAAGATTCTTTTTTCTCAGAATAGGCTGGACTACAGCATGCTTAAAGGCCAGTGGGACAGATCCAGAGAGTAGAGAAAAATTCATTAAGAATAAAATGCTCGGTCCAATTACATCATAGCAGCCCTTAACAATGCGTGATGGGAGAATATCAAAGACAGCATTGGTGTTTTTCAGTTGATCGACCAGCTGCTTCAGAGTCGAAAGTAACACGGGCACGGCATACGGGGGTTGTGACCATAAGCCAGAAGGACTTTGGAAAGAAAAGATGCCTTAGCCATTTTAGCAGTTTGAAACTGTGAGCGGCTAGTCTGTAACATATCATAAGAGACCTGAAGTTTATCTTTTTTCCACTTTCTCTCATCACGGCGACAAACATGTCGTAAGGCACGCGTAGTATCGTTAAGCCAGCAATGAGAGTAGGTTCTAGGGCGCTTCATTTTAGTGGGAGCAACAGAATCAGGAATAGAAAAACAAAGAGATAACAGGATATTAGCACAACCATCAACCGAACAGAGAGAACAGTCGTCAGGTACAGCCAAATCAGGGGTAGATGAAAATAATGATAACAAAATATCAGCATAACCATCAGATGAGCGAACTGAGCAGCAGTCAGGTATCATGAATGCCAAAATTAAAAAAAGACACAGCAAACTTTAACACAGCTTCAGAGCTGAGTACACGTAGCAGACGAGAAGTAGCTACAGACTGCGGTCCAACGGCAGATAAGCCAATATCAAAAATAATTGGGAAATGATCTGAAATCCCATTTATATCCTTAATGCAGATATCCAGGCCATACGTAAAGACCAAGTCCAAAATATGGCCTTTAACGTGGGTTGGTTCATTTACCCACTGAAGGAGGTTAAAAGAGTCCATAAAAGCCAGAAAGTGTCACGGCTGCCGAGGCGAGCCGTGTGGATATAGAAGGAGGACCCAAGATGCAGGCAGTGGATGAGATACTGGTGGTTTTATTTACAGAGGTGTAGTGGCAAACAAACAGTGGGGCATAACAAACAACTAAAGACACCTAAACTGGGAGAACTAAAATAACAGACCTGGGAGCATATGACAACGGATGATGAATAGCAGAGAGACACAGACGAGGAACAGGACACCGTGGAACACAGGGTAACAGACTGACACAGAGTTACACAGACTGACACGGAGGAACACAGACGAACCGGCAACAGGCAGGAGAACACACAGGGCTTAAATACACACACCAGTAATCAGGGGATGAGAGACAGGAGGGCAACACAGCTGGGAGGAATCTGGGCTGACGGGACAGGGGAAACGTAAACTGATCACACTCACATACGACACGGACCTTCACAATAAAACAGGAAACTCAGATACATGGAACCAGACAAGACATTGAACTAAACAGACAGATTCACAAACAGATGGGGAGACACCATAGACAGACAGGTACAGACGCAGACTTAGAGGCAGATCGAAAATAACACAGAACTTAAACAATCATCATCTAGAAAATGATAACAAACCAAAAGCGCTGGGTCACCGACCCAGGACCATGACAGAAAGTCTTAAGCAAGCAGGCCATCCTTACAACAGATGTGTATGTTCACCAAGAATAAGAACAGAGTCATATTTAAAAAGAACGGAACCCAAGAGATGAAACACTCATCATATTTGGGTGGTCGGTAGACCAACACACACAGAGTGCTCGTGGAAGCAGTCATCTCCAATAACTGAGCTTCAAAGCTAGCAAAGTTAGGTGAGGAAGGTTACCGAACATTATATACGTCATATATAAAAACCGAGGCTAAACCACCTCCCCTACCAGAAAGCGTCGGTGAACTAAAATAGGCACAGTCCAAAGGAAGAAGTTCAGAGAAAGGGATGAGCTCACCAGGGCGAATCCAGGTTTCCATAAGGAATAAAACATCAAGGCTGTTAGTAGAGAAAAGGCATTTAAAACAAAGGTCTTTTACCAGCGACCTGACATTAAGCAATGCAATCCGTGGCCAGGGTAGTAAGTCACCTCTAGAAGCACGATGTGCTTAGATTGCTTCAACAAATCCCCGTTGGCGCAACGTTATCCAAATCCGAGCAGGAAAGCGTGTTGCAGAACGGGCAGAGGAGGCTTGATGATCAACTGGGTAAATCCAGCAATGATTAAGCAACTTAGCGTCAGAGCAGTCCAGGGAGAAAATGATGCCGTGTCCAGGTGAGCATGTACATGGTCCGTAATTCTGGCTCTGAGAAAGGCCCTGAGACGGACGCGACGGCCACTCCTTCTTCCCCGCTTCCTGTAGCGCTTCTTGTGGAGATTAGGGAGGAGAAGCTGAAGGACAAATCCAGTTGTGGTAGATTAGTGCTGCCCACACTCCAGCAGGGGTTGGCTCAAAACAAATGGTAAGAATGAAGATTTAAAAGTGTTTGCCTGTCATATGTAATCAGTGCACAACCACTAGATGAACATACGACTAGAAAAAAAATAATAAAAAACACAGTGCCGAGGTCAATAAGTGAAGGTAAAGGGAAAAGGGAGGGTAAAAAGTGGCGAGACAGACACATGGCAAGTCAAGCACACCGGCGCCATCTTAACTCAGCATGCAAATATGACAAATCGCTGCTGCTGTTTCTTCTCCGCTCTCTCAGATTTCTGCGAACTCACACTGGACACAAGCACAGCCAACAGAAACCTCAAGCTGTCCGACAACAACAGGAAAGTGACGGCACTGTCGACGCAGGAGCCTTACGCCCAGCACGCAGAGAGGTTTGACTTCTGCCTTCAACTGCTGTGCAAGCACGGTGTGACTGGTCGCTGTTACTGGGAGGTGGAGTGGAAAGGAGTGGTGGATATCGCAGTCAGTTACAGAGGAATCAGAAGGAGAGGAGACAGTATCGACTGCAAGTTTGGATGCAACGGTCAGTCGTGGAGTCTGATGTGCTCTGATGTTGATCACTACTCTGTGTGGCACAACAACACAAGGAAAGACATCTCCTCCTCCTCCTTCTCCTCTGTCTCTAACAGAGCAGGAGTGTATGTGGACTGGCCTGCGGGCACACTGTCCTTCTACAGAATCTGCTTTGGCTCAAGGACCCTCCTCCACACCTTCCACACCACATTCACTGAACCCCTTTATCCTGGGTTTGGGTTCTGCACATTGTTGTTCGGTTCTTCTGTGTTTCTGAGTTCTCCGTAGAAACGAGAGTCTGGGCTTATGTCGAAAAGCGACTTGATGTTTGACTCACTGTGACGTGAAGTCAGCGCCTTTATGCTCCGGGTGGCTGAATATGTAGGCGTGTTCTTGTTATCGTACTTTCTCACTGACGTGTCTTTGAACTTGTGTGTGTTTTGCTATGTTTCTATGTTTTTGTAAATCAGGCCGCTGAAACGAGCCCACTGGGTTCATAAATAACTTAAATCTTCTGGACACAGCTGGTCGTTGTGCTCACGAGCAACACCACCGACCTAACCCCTAACCCCTAACCCTAACCCAAAATTATTGTCTGAAGGCAAAGATGCCCAACGGATTTACTTTGCCAAATGGACCATCCCAGCCTTGCTGAATTGGTCTATTTGATTGATCTTTGTTTTTATTGTTTATTTTATTTTCACTTGCTCCACACAGGACAGACGTGACTGGGGAAAGAAAGAGGGAAAGAAAAACAGCGGGGAAGAGGGACGGGGCTAAAGGGCAAAAACCAAAAACGAGGTGGGGGGGACAAGAAATACATATATGTCTTCGGAACAACATACCAAATCCAAGATATGTCCTTTAGAATGAGTGGAAAACCCAAAACGTTCCAGGCAGGATTTTGTCATTGTCCATATGAATATTGGAGTCACAAACAATTATCAGATTTGGAGAAAGTTCAGAGAAGTGAGTGAGAAGAGCAGCAAAGTCATTTAAAAACTCCTCATTTTGCTCAGGTAGCCGATAAACAGTACATATGATGGTGGGGGTAGATCCAGGGAGCTGTAATGCAATGTATTCAAATGAATGGGAGGGAGGGGCAGAGACAGGGAGAACTTTCCTTCCGGTGAATTATTCAATACATTGTTATTGTTAACCCTTTAAATCCCTGTAGAACCGGAACCGTGTAAGCTAGCACAATAATTTGTTTTGCATATGAAACCGGAGGAGTTGTACTTGTCCTCGGTCACGGTTTCCTTCCACATAAAGCTTTGCAAAAACTGCATAAAAAGCGCTTGCAGGAACAAAAACATAATATTCCAGAAACAGGCTTTGCCGATCCGATCAGCTGTTCGTAACACTTCCCACAATGAAAACGACGTCAACGCGAACTATCGCATGTCCGCCATTTCCTGTCCAAAACCGGAAGTGACGTCATTTTCGCGGGAAATGTAGTTTTTTACTTGTAGGCCTTAAAAGCCTATACTGGTGTTTTTATAAGTCATGTTTGACTCTATACTTTTCTGAATAGTTTCTGGGATGCTTAGAACTCAGATTGCACTGCTGGAAATAGTTTATTTTGATGCACCTGCTGTTTTCTTTGCAAATTTGCATCATAGGATTGTTTTTTGTTTTTCCTGCAGTATATAAAAATTGCTGTATCTCCAAAATAAAACTATGAAGACACTCAAAATAAATTTCCTGTTGTAAACTATTTTTTGGAACTTTTTTGTATTTAAAGTTTTGAGGGATAAACCTCTTAAATTTCTCCAAGTAGAAATATATGTAAAAAAACAAAAACGATTTTCAATTTTTTTGTAGTTTATTGCACTTTTTTGTAATTAATGTAATTACTATGCACTTAATGCAGACATATTATTAAAATATGGGCTATAACAGTTGTATTGATGTATAGCAACTTGAAATGCTCCCAAAAATGGCTCCACAGCATGTTAATAAAATAATATAAGCTCTGGCGGACTTGGTTCTATGGTAGATCTTATAGGGTTAAATAAGTATCGTCAAATAATCGAGATCTCAATTTCAGTGAAAATAATCGTGATTATCATTTTTGCCATAATTGAGCAGCCCTACTTCATGTTCAACCATGTTTCTGGTGGGTGGTGACGTTTGTACTGATCTTTGAGGGGTGGAGTCAGCAGACTGAAGCCACGCCCACCACCTGCACTGGAATCAAACACCATTGTTTTTAGGAGGTGAAATTGCTGACTGAAGTTTGCCATCAGAGCTCTTCTGTGCATCTTTTAACACTTTGGGAGGCGAGCAGCTTTTCCTTTTTTCCTCAAACAGTTACTGCAATGTGAAAGTTGGTCCTACAGTTTAAAAACCAATGAAAGATGGTTCTGTTTATAAAGCTGTCACTGGGTAGCTATGCTGGATAGAAAACTAGATTTTTTTTTTTTATTGGAGGAAAATACACACATCCTTGTTTGAACCTACAGCGGTTCAATGAACTCGGGGCTGTTGTCATTAAATTGTTAGGATCTGAATGTGACAGATTTAAAGGGAAAACGGCAAGAACACAGAGGACGAGCGGAGGCGCTTCCAGCTGCTGAGCACCAATAACCAGGCACAGTGAGTTTGATGAGTTTGACTCTGCAGGCTGTCTGAAGGTCACACTGAGCCCACGTCACGTAAACTGTACGTACAGAAATACAGTTTAAATGGAGCACAGTAAACCTGCAGCAGCTCGACAGGAAACAGCTCAACTTTTAGCGACGTGTGTATAAAATGAACTTCACACACAGTTCGATGTCACGTTTATTTCTGACTTTGCTTTTGTGACAGTTCAGTCTGGTCAGCTCCAGTCTCAGCTGTCTCAAGCTTCCCTCCTCTCGTCTCCCGTCTCGCTAAAAAAGGGGGAAAGACTGTCATCAGGCCAAACGCCACCAGCTGTGTTCTCACCTGCCGCCCCAGCACCACCCCGTTGAGCTCACTGTGCCGCTCCTCCCCTGCAGCCGAGTCATGGACCACACCTCCGGCACAGTGTGGAAAAACTGCACAAAAATAAAATGTGTCTGGTGTCTATTTCAAAGCTCCCTGCTCATTCCTCCTCCTCCTGACCACCGTCTGCTTCTGAGTCCAGTAGTTCCTGACACCTGTGACCAAACCTTTGTGCCTGCATCAACCTCCGTCTTTGTGGACTTTAAAGAGAGAGGCTGGAGGTTGTGAGATACAGGTGGAGTGTTTGATGCACTGTGAGAATGTGACACACACACACACACACTTACACTTAAAAATAAAGGCCAGAGGAATGTTAGCGGTGATAATCAGACGGCAGAGATAAACTCGGCCTCCTCAGTCCTGGGAAACAGTGCTTGAGTGCCGGGGTAGCCTCAGTGTCTGTCTGTCAGTGCTTTACTGGTGGTCTGCTTCATGCTGGGGAATCTGAGGTCAGGACAACAACATCCGGCTTTATCTCGTCCTCGGCCCCTCGCTTCATAAATGTCATAAACATGCTCTTTTAGCTCCTCCCCCTTTGAAACTACCTTCCACTTTGGCCAAATGTCTTCTGACTGGCTGACCACAAAAACAGGCCTGTCCAGCAAGTGGGTGGGGCTTCAGTATGTGAGATGACTATACAAAGACCCTCTCTCTGCATGACCTCATACAGATCAAAGGGTACAAAATAGTGCCTGAACCCGAGCATTCAGAGCAGCTGGATAATATCAATAATTAAAAAAATTAATATACCATCATGTTGTTGCATATGAATATTTATTTTTTTATTATTGATATTGAAAACTGAAAGTTGTGCTTGGGTTCTTGGTTTCACTGCAGTGTGTGACAATCCGTGCTGGCCAAGTTACTTTGAAAAAGTAATTAATTATAGTTACTAGTTACTTCTGTAAAAAAGTAACTGAGTTAGTAACTGAGTTACAAGATTCTAAAAGTAATTAATTACTTGAAAAGTAACTATTGTGTTACTTTAAAAAACACGTTTAACCCTCTGAGGTCCAGGGTGTAATCGGCCATTTTTAACCACTTCTGATGTTTCCTCCACATTTCACCTTTAAAACTGTTTCCTTTGCCTTGTTTGGTCTCATCAGCACAGCCTCACGTGTCTGAATCTACAGTCGTGTTTTCATTTTGACTACTGTAGCAACACAACTGATCTAAAATCAGACAAAAAACATCAAATTCGAGTAGAAAAGTTTTTTTACTGTAACAACCACAAACATGTTCATTGAATCATATTTCATAACTTTAAATTATAAACGGCCAATTTTAAAATCATATGCACAAGTTTTCAAACAAAGTTATTTGCAGCCATTTACCTTTGACCCTTTTTTTAAATAACCATTTCAAACTATTTACAGAACAATCAGCTGTTCTTCAATAAGGTGCCACAAATTATTTGTGCCACTGCAAATATTTCTGTCCACTATAAAGGAAACATCACAGCCTGATGCCTGCAGGTCTGACAGCAGCAGGTGTATCACTCCTGTTTCTACCTGGAGACAGCAGCCGCCTCATTGTTCTGACACACAAAACTATCCACAACACTACACACTAAACACACAAGACAACACATTAACTACACACTCCAAACACGCTAAACGTCACAAATCTCTCAGATCTCAAAACTCGCTCTCTCTCTCGCCGTCACTCCTAAATCTTCCCCCTCTTCGTAAACGTCATGTTGCTATATCACTTTTGATTGGTCGACATGGTGCATTTTTCCACCAACACGAACGGGCTGTTTTTTGTTTTGTTTTTTATTTTTAGCTCATAAGCAGAGAGTGCTCGCTGCGCTGTCCTTAGACAGTAAACGTGACCAAACTATTGAGGAAAAACGCAAGTATATATTGCTTGATTGATTGATTGAAAATACTTTATTCATCTCGAGGGAAATTGGGTTAAGGCTGCCAGCCGTGCCAGCGCCGTCTTACCTGTCCGACCATACATACATTACACAAACATCGCATGGGGCTGACAGGTCAGAGAGGCATAACAATGGAAAATGCACAACACGAGGAAAGACGAGGAGAAAAAAGACCCCCCCCCGGACTGAGCTCCAACGGGGAGATCAGTTTGACAACAGAAAAAACACCTCAGCACAGGAATCATCACATTTCACAACATGGAAGACATGAGCTTTGAAGGCGTTTGGAGGGGGTGTGTGTCTGTGTCAGTATACATGCATGTGTCTGTATGTGTGTGTGAGTGTGTGTGAGTGTGTGTGTGTGAGTGTGTGTGTGTGTGTGTGTGTGTGTGTGTGTGTGTCTGTGTGTGTGTGTGTGAGTGTGTGTGTGTGTGTGAGTGTGTGTGTGAGTGTGTGGTGTGTGTGTGTGTGTGTGTGTGTGTGTGTGTGAGTGTGTGTGTGTGTGTGTGGTGTGTGTGTGAGTGTGTGGTGTGTGAGTGTCTGTGTGTGTGTGTGTGTGTGAGTGTGTGAGTGTGTGTGTGTGTGTGTGTGTGAGTGTGTGTGTGAGTGTGTGTGTGTGTGTGTGTGTGTGAGTGTGTGTGTGTGAGTGTGTGTTTGTGTTTGTGAGTGTGTGTGTGTGTGTGTGTGTGTGTGTGTGAGTGTGAGTGTGTGTGTGAGTGTGTGTGTGAGTGTGTGTGAGTGTGAGTGTGAGTGTGTG